CTTACTTTAATGTCTGAAGAATTGGCAGATGGCAAAGGGTAATATGATTAAACTGATGACCATATAGGAACTTGTCAGTTTGCGGGCTTCGCTGAGACAGACACATAGTATTTTGGGATAATGAGGTCATATGACCCTTGATGGCAAAGGTATCAACATATATGAACAATATGGCAACGTGAAACCAAACTCCGCCATCGATATCTTAGACTAACGCTTAGTCTCTGAATATATATAATTTTGATAGTAACAAATAAACCCGTTTAAATTGAAAAGGATCCCCTGGGTGACTAGAGATTCTGAAGAAAATCATCTTGTTTTGGGACCTGTAATATGTATGGCAGCCAGAAGTTACCAGCGGGTTCGTGTATTTGTGTTATTCAGTGATGATGAATAACTAAGAAGCTTATGCACAGTGATGAACCTGTAAAAGGAACCTTGCTGTATTTCAATACATGAATTTCAGTGTATATGACCACACCAATGTAGATGTTTCATGTACAGGCTTTGAAAAACGAACCCGCGGCTACGAACAACGAACAACGAAACACGAATCTGCTGGGATTTAGGCATCTAATACTTATTATTCCAAGTCGGAATAACAAACCCGGTGCTGGTTAGCCTTTCGCTAATCAGAAGTGATGAATAATTAAACAGCTGTTAGGATATATATATTATATTTGATAGAACTGATGGACATAACGCAAATGACGAACCCGCTGCTAGAAGATTAGACGGATAAATATACATTGCTGAAGGACATAGGTTGACTCCGATTCGCCTTCACCTTGCTTCCCTGGTGTGTCCTGTTTGCAATTCTCTGAATGTCTATGTGAGACGGGATCAAATATATAGTCCTGTATGTTTCCCCAGGCCCAACAGTTTTGTATACTCGTACTGAATAACATTGATTGTATTTGGCCGAAAGTTTCACGACGCTAATGACTTGTAGTGCATTAAGCGAGTCTGATACAGTTACCGCCTTTACTTCCGGTAGCTTCCGTTCGAGTTCCTGGATGAATAGCCCCTAATTCAACAATGAATAATGTTTCACCAGCGTGAAGAGCCACCGAATGAACTTGGGCTTTGGAGATATAGGTACGGATCCCGTAACCAACAGTGTTGTCTAAATATCTCTTGGGTCCATCAGTGTATAATGTGATGCATATGTCTCAGGAAGTTAAGTTTAGTGTTAGCTATTGATCATATTTCGGGTGGGTTTTCTTCTTTTTTTTTTTCTACTGAAATGTCACTGTTTCGGAGTTCTCGAAATCGTGGGTGACTGAATGTAATATGTCAGTTGTGACTTCGGATGATTTTACATTCTAGTATCCTAAATGGTTTTACTCAGGGTGTGTTCGGGCCAAGGCATTGTCTCGGGTGCTTTATGTCTTGCCATATCAGTTTTCACCAGTGGTCCCCCTAACCTGCCCTCTCCTTAGTTTCAACAAGAGCTCTGTTTCTCCTCGTAGCGCTGCTAGTCCAGTAGCTGTTCTTTTCCTTTGGCTAACATCGTGGCTAGATATTCAGTCGATGCGGCTCTAGACAGTGTTTGATGCAAAGAGAAAGGTCACAGAACCATGGTCTATTTTTCATATGAGTATCGATTTGTAGAAGTCGTTTGGGTGTCTGTCAAACTGCCCCAAATTGTGCCGGGAATTGCCCGCTGTAAGTTTATATATCTATGTTATTCCACATATGTCATATGTTTGCTACAGGATAGGCACATATCGAGGATCACGCCTACACATTTTGCGTTTGGAAATGGAGAGTCGGGGAATCACTGAGTCTTTCACCTGTGTTTGAACAGAGCTGCCAAAGTTGGATATATTTTTCAGTTGAACAGATGAACCAAACTTTATTGTACCTTTGATCTATTCATCAAGGCCTGACTCAATATTTGTTTCATATTTGTGATTTCCCGTTATATTTTACCCAGATCCTAAATTACCATTGAATTTGAAGTTTGAGTAGGAGAGTTGACTTGACCAAATATATAATTGATCATGATGTCAAACAGGCTTGGGCCTATAATGCTTCTTGTGGCGCGCCGTGGTTCAGTAACATAGAATCAGATTGATTGTTCCCTTTTTACTGATAGCTACTGTCTTGAAGGAAGCTGTGTTTGAAGATTGCCCGTCGCGTCCACTCCATTTTGAGCTAGTTTTGTGAATCCGTCATGCCTTACCATGCCGTACCATGTCGCAGTCTTGGATGTTGTCCAGAAATGTTACTGCAAGGCAGTGCCTGTTGTCGGGCTTTATCATTTTATTTCCTAGTATATGATCTAGACATGATGTTGATGATGATGATGGTGATATTCTTATCGTGCAACTTGTGGCTGCTACTATCTCCCTGACTGATCTACTTGGTCTGACAGGTTACCTCGGTTAGTTTTGAATGAGATATATGTCCTCGCACATATGTTGTTAGGAGGGAGCGGAATAATAAACGGCGAGCTGGAAATCCAACGTGTGTATTGGAATAACATGCATGAAGTAGAAAGAAAGTGTACATGTAAGCGTGGATACAACATAACTAGGGAGAAAGGAGTTTAATGGGGATGTTCAAACTGCTAAGCGTGAATATGTGAATATGTAATAAATATGTCTGAAAGATTTGTGGAAGTCATTATTGGCACGTGTGGAAGGAGCTAGGTAGAATGGACCTCGTGGAGAGAGAGAGAAGGAGATTCCAATGAAGATTGAATTAGAGGATGGCGCAGGTAGTGAGAAATGGCATAGTGTGTTACACGATGAAGAGAGATTACTGTCAGTAGCTGAATGTGGATGCTGGTACATAGAGAGGCAGAGCGTATACTGCCAGATACATCAGCGAGGATGTACATGTTCTCTTCAGGGCTGATGATAAATATTTGAAGTAATATGATGGACATCAATCACATACTAAGCCTCCTTGCATTTTTCCACTGAATGTTTGAAGTCTCCATCAGCAATGCATAAACTGTGTAATGTGAGTTGCAGTACATATATTCTGTTTTTATTCTGTCCCAGAGGAATACTTAAGACCACACCGACGACCTGTACGTTGAACACTACAGAGCCCGTATAAGTCGTTTTGTAATATTCTTAATCAAACATTAATTTCTTGGGCAGAATCTAATCTTGAAATGACATGAATATATCTATTAAGTATCTAATTGAACCAGAATTGTATTTACATGTTTAACCTGGAAATATTTTCACGATTCCGGCTTCAACTATCAGATATCACGGTGAACATTGGACGGCAGCGTCCTATGCCTTGACACTTGATAGTCTTTATCCGTCATTTATAGAGGATGAGTTTCACATTCTACCTATTCTTAATGTTTTAGTGATCTAACAGAAGAATGCATTCCTCCTTAATACCTTTATTTCCAAACTTGCATTTATTGAAATTTAGGTTAAACTCTAAAGATGATAAATTGCATGTTAGTCTAGCATGCTTGTTCAGCATGCTCTTCGTCGTAACCATCGAGAAATGAATAAATTATATTAACATCCATAGCTATATATATCTTTAATTCCGCAAAGTAACTCGCATGTGAAATTTGTATGTATGATTTGTATATGGCATTTGTGTTACATTCCACTTGTATATGTGCTGGAGGCCAAGAACACAATGATCTGGAGCTTGATGATGAGTATGCCATTGTGACATATGCTCAAAACAGTTTAGACGAAAGAGATCCACCGTGGAACCATATTTACACTGTGTAGTCAATTATAGAAACATTGAAAGTGCAAACCGCCAACACCACTTGAAAAGCTCTTCATTAACTGTTAAATATTGGGTGCCAGTAAATGGTGTTTACTTGGATAAAAGAATGTCTATTGCTATCATTCTATCTAGACTTGCAGGATGTTTTGACTGATTCCAAAACTCACATCCGTAATGATTGCACCATTATTTTCTCCTTAGTATATGATGGTAATAGTGTTCTTTTATCAGCGTCTGAAGACGACTTGAACAAATTGCTGCAAGCATGAATAACTGACGTGAAGTTAATGACTCTGATATATGACTCTGTGGCATGGTCTGCCTTTAATAACGGCGCACCTGTGTGTAGTTACCGAGTAGTATCTCCTGTTGAGGTGGTACATAACAGGCTATTAGATTCTTTTTTTCCTAGCGGTATCATATATGCACCTGTACTTAGAAGGTTAAAATGTACAGCCGGACAGCACCGCTGTTTTAGAAATATACCTGATTAAATAACCGTGTCTTTATAGAAGAAGAATTAGCGGAAGGAAAAAACTCATAATGCAGCATTATATTTAATTTCACCACTGGTTTAAAGACGGAAGCTAATACAAGATTTACTTGTGGAAAGATCGTTTGTGATAACCTGGCAGAAAGCCTTATGTATACATAAAGTTTACACTGGTTCACGCGAACTCCGAACAGGTGGGATTTTTTATAGAAGATAATTGCTCCTCAACGACATAGCGGACCTCCACGTGTACTGATGTATCTGTGGTTACTGTTTCAGGAACAAAATTCTCGGAACAACACTGAGCGGCCAAGATTTCCGGACGTCGGTCACCAGTGTACTGATGTATCTGTGGTTACTGTTTCAGGTACAAGATTCTCCGGACGTCAGGCCAACACGTGTACTGATGTATCTGTGGTTACTGTTTCAGGTACAAGATTCTCCGGACGTCGGCCAACACGTCTCAGGTACTGATGTATCTGTGGTTACTGTTTCAGGTACAAGATTCTCCGGACGTCGGCCAACACGTGTACTGATGTATCTGTGGTTACTGTTTCAGGTACAAGATTCTCCGGACGTCGGCCAACACGTGTACTGATGTATCTGTGGTTACTGTTTCAGGTACAAGATTCTCCGGACGTCGGCCAACACGTGTACTGATGTATCTGTGGTTACTGTTTCAGGTACAAGATTCTCCGGACGTCGGCCAACACGATGTACTGTTTGATGATTCTCCGGACGTCGGTCAACTCGTGTACGGATGTATCTGTGGTTACTGTTTCAGGTACAAGATTCTCCGGACGTCGGCCAACACGTTTGTCTTCAGCCTGGCATGCACGGATCTCCTGATGTGTCTTGTGAACTTCCCCATATTCTCCACGGCCAACATGACAGGGGCATGGCCTTTACCCCCAGTGTGTAAGTATACTTTCACAATCCTCACCATGACCCGAGACGGATCGCTTGTAGGCTGGTAATGTCCTACCAGCTATGGTTGATGAGGCAACAAAGGGTGGACATTTACTTGTATATCGATTTGCACTTTGAAACACGGATCATTTCCCCTCGACCTAATTATAGTCGTCTGAAGTACCACATTTTGAGATGCCACGCCAAAGATGAATGTTGTTTTACCTTTAATGTCAATTGTTATACACCATTGACCTCCACTCTCTACGACAGGCTTATCACAATAGATTGCGTGTATAATTTACCAGTCAAATCAGTGGGACTTTTCATTGAGAAAGAAATTTGAAGACGTAGAATAAATATAGACTGATACAATAAAGTTAAAGAGAATGTAATGATGAATGCATAGAAAAAAGCACATAACAGATTGAAATTACGCATGTATTTTAACGTATCACAGACACATGGACTTTTCATCTACGTCAACCGCGTGGAAATTTGCCGCAAAGATAGAATATTCATATACGTCATCCGCGCGGTGTATACAAAGAAAGTATTAATCTACGTCAATGTAATGCCGCAAAGATGGTGTATTAATCTACGCCAAAAAGCGGTGTATTGCCGCACAGATGGTGTATTAATCTACGCCAACCGCGCGTGTAATATTGTATTTAATCTACGCCAACGTATTGCCGCAAAGATGGTGTATTAATCTACGCCAACCGCGCGGTGTATTGCCGCAAAGATGGTGTATTAATCTACGCCAACCGCGCGGTGCGCAAAGGTGGTGTATTAATCTACGCCAACCGCAATTGCCGCAAAGATGGTGTATTAATCTACGCCAAACCGTAGATTGCCGCAAAGATGGTGTGTCTCAACCTAAAGGGGTTTTCACGTAGAGTTTAACGAAATGCGTCCTACATTCAGATCCATCGGGCTGAGATTAACTGACCTGGGTGGGCTGGCGATGATGCCATTGATCGCTGCAAGAATGCTTGAGTGATTCTATGTGTATGAGAACCGACATGTTGCCCACAGATTTACGGTACTGACGTAAGCTGGTTACTGGAAGCTGGTCAGTTCTGAGCTCTGATGAGAGCCCCTGTACAACTGATTAATCCAAGAGTGATGATGAACGTCGACCTGTGCTGCAATGTCTTCCTTGTTTTTTTATGAAGACGCTCTTGTGTACATGGTCTCTACATTACAGGTCTTGTTATACACCCAATTGCTTATTGTCACTGAGTAAAGTGTGAGACGGGATGTAGTGGTAATGACATTGCCTGAAACCATCTCATTACGTTCTGGGCAGAAAGTATTCCAAAATATAATATGCTTTTCCAAAGTGTTACAGAATAGATTTTTATTTCTGGTGCAAGAAACAAATATGCGGCATAAAACATTTTACTTTCGTTCATATGGAAACTATTAATAAAGTATTCTATTCAACTAAACGCTTCAAAAAAAGAAACGCATAGGCCAAAAATAAGGAAATGTATTAACGTATTTAAGTCGATTAAGCTTGAACATAGGTGATGGAAATTCGACATTCGGGTGAACATATGTATTGTTGTCATTGTCATTATTAATTCAGTTCACTCACTGCACATGTGTGGACACAAGGGGGCCCTCAGGTCAGTACCTGGTGGTGACACCACCCCTTGCAGCAGTCACTGATCGACACCGCCTTGGAGGGTATTGCGCAAGTTGCCGGATTTTTGCTTGGGGAATTCTTCGCCATTCCTGATGCAGCGTGTTTGCAAGTTCTGCAAGTGTCTGAGGACGATGGTGACGTTTACGGACGCGTCCATCAAAGTTCGTCCCATAGATGCTCGGTCGGGTTCAGATCAGGCAATCTGGAAGGCCAGGGAATGACATTGACGTTTGCGTTTGCGAGATAGGCACCTGTTACACTAGCTGTGTTGGGTCCAGCGTTGTCGTGCTGAAACAGCTCCCTCTGGCTGTTAAAAAGCGTGAGGAGGCGATGTAGCGATTTGCTGTAAGATCCACCCGCTGTAGGACATGACTACCCACACCATGACGCTTTCTCCACCAAATCTGTCCACCTGTCGAAAGCAGTTCGGCGCAAAACGTTCGTGTCGACGTCGATAGACACGTTGTCTCCCATCCCGAAGTTGCAGGAGGAAATGCAATTCATCGCTGAACCAAAGGCGTCGCCAGTTCCCCAAGTTCCATGCCTGTACCCTGTTGCACCAATGGACACGTCGTTGTCGGTGTAGTCAGGTCAGGTCCATTTCTGTTCGATATGCTGGAATTCCCACTTCCCTCAGAAGATTTCTGATGGTTTGGTCGGAATATACAACAACCGACATGATTAACGGGATTCAAACATAGGAATTGTCTTAATGACGATTGTTATCAAAATATATCGAAAGGAACTGCTAAAAACGCATGTGTGTTTCTTTTTTTTAAGAGTAAAAAAACCGACACTCACTTATGTTGAGAATAAAACATGTGGTTTGGACTGGAATAACTTTCAGAAAGCTTAACAAATAATACAGCCGTCGATTACATCGATTACAAAGTTCATCCAAGACGCACTTTTTGTAATCGTCAACATAGGCTCATGTTACATCTGTATCTTCTGTTGCAGCTTGTCAGGTGACTGGCTTCGTGGCCTCCCTCACCGGCTACATCTCCATCAACACCTTTGCAGCCATGGCCATCGACCGCTGCAGCGTCATAAAGAGAACTAAACCAGTAACTGGAAGGCCATCCAAATGCTCCAAGGCTGGGACGGTGCTGGGCATCTGGCTATACTCCGGTATATGGGCAGCACTGCCCTTGGTGGGATGGGGGCAGTATGTACGGTATGGGCCTACTGTATGTTCCTTTGACTTTGAGTCAAAGGACAGCAACAACGTGTCTTTCATCATTAGTATATACGTGTTCTGCTTCACACTACAGCTTCTGATAATCATCATGTGTTACTCTTCCATCTTTGCCACGGTGTACATCCACGACAGAGAGCTAAGCAAGATGAAGATGATACTTACCAATGGAAGAGAACATCGAACAGTGTCCAGACGAATACTCGAGCTCAAAGTTGCACGATTAGTCCTTATCATCGTGTTTCTCTTCTGTGTATCATGGGCCCCGTATGCAATACTTGCTCTGATAAACATGTTTGGATGGCGACACCTCGTGACGCCAATTGGCGTGGTGTTAGCAGGGGCTCTTGCCAAAATATCAACTGTGATCAACCCTATAATTTATGCCATCTATGCTCCAAAGTTCAGGAGTTGTATTGCATTGTGTTGTAAGGCTGGGAATGACGACACACGGAACTATAATCCCTCAGCTCTCTATCAGGCCACATTCCATAATACCAGCTCAAGACAGAGGTCATTAACGAACAACACACATCCGTCACACGTGTGAGGTCGGGATCCGCACAGGGGGAATGAGTCTTTGAACTGGGATAACAACATGACAGCCGTATAGAGTCGGGCAGTGAACCACGAGCAAATCGCTTGGTAAAGGAACATCGGTCGACGATACTGGAGTACACTTTGACAAAAAAAAACAAGCCGTGATTATTACCATGTATATGTAGAGATCAACGTGATCACCTGATATAAACCTGAAGAGCTGAGAATCTTTTCTGTGGCCCTGGATTGCTCAATACATTTAGGTTTATGATCATACAACAGTGTAAAGTGACAGTGCGCAAGTACATGACATTAACAATACATATGACGCGCTTATTATTGTACACATATTTAGTTTCGTCAATCCACATAGTTAACACAAATTGCAAACACAGATTATGATATTTCGAGATACATCTGTTTTACCCTTCAAAATAATTGGACAGTTATCATCTGAATCAATATATGAAGTTATATTTTCAAGGGCGATGACCCGTTACAAGTTGCGACACAATGCATGGCTTGTTACGTGTTCTAATCATACCATTTCCAGACTTGACGCTACCAAACTGCCAGGCTAAAGAAGGAAATGACTTGACAATTTGACTTAACCCCAAAATTACACACATTTTCAAAGCTTAACTAGATTGAAAACAGTCATCTTCATACTGCAAACCTAAGGCCCACAACATAATTATGATAGCTGTATCAACTATGACACCAGATATACATTGTACGTTGTTTTGTCTTTGGCCACCTTCACTTTTACTTTCTATTGCACGGCAGTCACCTGAGGCACTGATACATCTGTACGTTGTGTGAGACATAACTCTGTATAGTTACCGTGTTGATGTCTTCGTGTCAGAGATAATATTGTTTGTCTTTCATTGTGCTCATTACATCGAGAACCTTACCCTAATTATCAACATTGTTATATTTTCATTGTTCCTGTGGCCGGTTAAGGCTTACTGATGCATGTGATAATGACTAGGGGACGGTTTGTTCGATTAGATTTTCCAATATAAACACCCACTGAGAACTGGATGGAGGTACCCGAGAACTATGCACCTTACACCGAGAACTGGATGGAGGTATAACTTACACCCACCGAGAACTGGAAACTAACTTACACCCACTCCGAGAACTGGATGGAGGTATCAATAAACTCCGGAGAACTAACGTTTGCTTACTCCGTGATCATGATCATTCTGACAAGTGGTTGAGAACAGATAACGATGTAAGTGGTGAGGACTACTTTATCATATACAGTGGAGACATTATTCTGTGACTTTTTTGTTTAGAATCGGGTTCACCACATAACTTGTTCAGGCTATTTAACCTCATGCTGGATAAGGTCCCTTGCTCAACCAGTGATGAGACAACGATGTATTGATTGGTCTCAGCTGACCCTCATGTTATAACGATATATATCTACATTCACAACATGAGCTCTCGGTCTGTGTTGTTCAATGTGATTCTGCTATGGCTTCTTGGAGTATCTTTAATATAGGCGACAGAACCCTGGCATAATAAATATCTTCAAAAGCAAAGTGTTTATGAATCTCTATCAAATAGTGATGAGACAATGTGTTTGCGAAAAATGTGTCAATTGCAAGCAAATCAATTGTTCACCCAACCAAAGCTAGAACACATACAGGAACTACCAGAAACCGTACACAGCTACTGAGGATTACGATGGATCCTTCCCAGAGTCATTTTCAGCGGGGATTGTGTACTTTTAATGTTGTGCGAAAGATACCTCGTTATTTTCGTGTCCCCATGACTCGTGATTGTTTGCAGAATGAAACTCAAGATAGAGTAATAAGGGTAATGTTAGAGGCATGCTTATCACAGGCAATGGGGAGGGAGTGGTTGTGAAGGGCAGGGGAGTCATGGGACTGAATATTTTCCTGAACTTTACGTATTTTCAGCATGGTCCTCTTATAATAGTTCAATACACTTCTTCTGCCTCTTCTACAAGTTACCCATATTTCAGACATATTCTGGTCTGTCAACCAGGTCTTCAAACGTTCTCAGCCATCTGTCCCTGCATTCATGTATAACTACGTGTTCAGAATGCCCTAGTAATGCAAACAAGTCCACCTCAGGATAAGACTATATCACAGGCCATGTGCTAATAGGTCAATATCAAATAATGATGTTCACCAAAAGGTGAGCGTGTCTTGCCCCTCCAGTGTCACCTGTCACAAGCACACGCAAAGACAAGTCAGTTTTAAATCTGAGGGGTTGCCTGCCGTTACTAATTGTATAGTTGTAATGGCATTAACATTTTCTCATATGTGATCCCCTGTCGCACCACTACAATGCCAAGTATCTCAGAATCACATCTTTCTTTGTATTTCGTTTGATATGTTTTGTTTGTAACCGTGGTAACAGCCAGCGTGTGACACATTTGTAATAAGCATCCTACATGAATGGTAATAAATTGCGCAGCTTTATTGAAATTGCCAATCTTGCCAATTACTGGCCCTCTGTGAACGAGTGTGCTGACGTCGGGAACCTCGTGTAGTTGTATGTCAACAAACATATGCTACAAGTTTACCTGTTGTGTAACATTTAGTTCAAGTTTTCTAGTTTACTTCAAGTTTACATTCGTCTGCCTCGCCTTCTGAACAATGGTGCTATGAAGCATTAGACATAACCTCCAATATACATTATTAATTATCGATTTTTAAAGTTATAAATTATCAAACATGCAGATAGATTTGTCACCTTAGAGTTTTAAGACTGTGTTTCGTGACATAGATCCCACTTTTGTTGTAGATAGTTTACCATTTGGCTGTTTGTTGTGTACATGTAAGCGACCAAAATATTCAGCGCAAAATATATACATTCCAACTTTCATACCAGTTTCATTGAATGTGATAGTGTTTCTCACATAACGACTGATTCAAATGATATTTATTGAAGTTAGCAAAATAAATGTTATTTATTGCAAATACGCATTCTGTTATCTCTTAAGTCATTCAACGCCTTTCTGATGTGATACATACTAACTCAAATGGGCGATACCACCTACATAGCGTGGCTCTCAACATATCCTAGGGGAGATAGCACCTCACTTATGTCACATAATATACTACTCACACTTTGCTAAGGATCACAAAATTCACAAATTTACTTTAACGTAGATTCAAAATTTGAAATTGTATCCATTTAAAACTGGATGAATAATAATACGGTGACCCTTCTTTAGGCAAACAGTCACTTTAATCTAACCTTATGCGCTTGATACATGAGTAACCATAAAAATGGTTCTCATGGCACCAATCAACCATTTTGCAAATCATGGAACAAGTCACTGATAAGTACACAACACCTGTCAATGGCAGGTATGGGATCCACAAGATGAAATGACAAACTGAAACCTTGGATCCATGCTTACAATAAGCTGTGATATTTAAATCAAGTTTGACCACACGTCATAGTTTTCTGTTGAATCCATGATATGATCCTTAGCAAAGTGTGAATAGTATATATCCAGTGGGAGGTACAATCAAGTTTATCTCACACATAATGCAGCCAATGGGAGACATTACAGAGCCGATGTTACATAATATATCAAATGGGAGGTACAATCCAGTTTATCTCACATAATAATGCAGTCAATGGGAGACATTACAGAGCCGATGTTACATAATATATCAAATGGGAGGTACAATCAAGTTTATCTCACACATAATGCAGCCAATGGGAGACATTACAGAGCCGATGTTACATAATATATCCAGTGGGAGGTACAATCCAGTTTATCTCACATAATAATGCAGCCAATGGGAGACATTACAGAGCCGATGTTACATAATATATCAAATGGGAGGTACAATCCAGTTTATCTCACATAATAATGCAGCCAATGGGAGTCATGCCCGGGCCGATGTCGCATAATATATCCAGTGGGACGAACCAACAAGCTGGTCTCACACATAATATCTCGAGTGGAGAAGAACGCTCAGCTGATGTAATAGAAATACGGTGGAAGGTAGCATCTTTCTGGAGCCATACACATCTCCAGTTGCCAATAGCACCTTGCTCATGTCACACACAACAACACCCCAAGGTAGCACATCATCTCCATTGGAGGATAACACCTTGCTGGTGTCATTCACATCGCCAGTGGTTGATACAACCTTGCTCGTGCCATACACAACATCTCCAGTGGAGGATAACACCTTCCTCGTGCCATACCCAAGATCTCCATGGAGGAAAACACCTTCCTCGTGCCATACACAACATCTCCAGTGGAGGATAACACCTTGCTCGTGCCATACATAACATCTCCAGTGGAGGATAACACCTTGGTCGTGCCATACACAACATTTCCAGTGGAGGATAACACCTTACTCGTGCCATACACAACATCTCCAGTGGAGGATAACACCTTGCTGGTGTCATACACATCGCCAGTGGTAGATACAACCTTCCTCGTGCCATACACAATATCTCCAGTGGAGGAAAACACCTTCCTCCTGCCATACACAACATCTCCAGTGGAGGATAACACCTTACTCGTGCCATACACAACATTTCCAATGGAGGATAACACCTTACTCGTGCCATACACATCTCCAGTGGAGGATAACACCTTGCTGGTGTCATACACAACATCTCCAGTGGAGGATAACACCTTACTCGTGCCATACACAACATCTCCAGTGGAGGATAACACCTTTCTGGTGTCATACACATCGCCAGTGGTAGATACAACCTTGCTCGTGCCATACACAACATCTCCAGTGGAGGGTAACACCTTCCTCCTGCCATACACAACATCTCCAGTGGAGGATAACACCTTCCTCGTGCCATACACAACATCTCTAGTGGAGGATAACACCTTACTCGTGCCATACACAACATCTCCAGTGGAGGATAACACCTTACTCGTGCCATACACAACATCTCCAGTGGAGGATAACACCTTCCTCGTGCCATACACAACATCTCTAGTGGAGGATAACACCTTACTCGTGCCATACACAACATCTCCAGTGGAGGATAACACCTTGCTGGTGTCATACACATCGCCAGTGGTAGATACAACCTTGCTCGTGCCATACACAACATCTCCAGTTGAGGATAACACCTTGCTCGTGCCAACACAACATCTCCAGTGGAGGATAACACCTTCCTCGTGCCATACACATCATCTCCAGTGGAGGATAACACCTTACTCGTGCCATACACAACATCTCCAGTGGAGGAAAACACCTTACTCGTGCCATACACAACATCTCCAGTGGTGGATAACACCTTACTCGTGCCATACACAACATCTCCAGTTAAGGATAACACCTTCCTCCTGCCATACACATCTCCAATGGAGGATAACACCTTGCTGGTGTCATACACAACATCTCCAGTGGAGGATAACAC